TGCAGATGTCTCGAACCTTGGGTGCCCACAGTTTAGGGCTTAGGGGGTTTAGGGTTTAGGGTTTAGGGTTTAGGGTTTAGGGTGTAGGGTGTAGGGTGTAGGGTGTAGTAGTCCTTCTTCAGGCTTCTACACTAAGGCACCACCCCCTTCAGCCGGGACTCGGGGCTGCCTCTCTGGGGAGAGCGGGACTAAGGGTGCCCGGACAAAACCCTACATGAAACGATCGAAACGTTCGGTTTAGGGTTTAGGGTTTAGGGTTTAGGGTTTAGGGTTTAGGGTTTAGGGTTTAGGGTATAGGGTTTAGGGAAAACTCGAGGAAAAAAAACGTATGACATCCTTAGAGAGCCCTAGACCCTAGACCCTAAACCGTAAGACCCTAAGACCCTAAACCGTAAGACCCTAAACCCTAAACCGTAAGACCCCAAGACCCTAAACCCTAGGACCCTAAACCCCAAGACCCTAAACCGTACGACCCCAAGACCCTAAACCCTAGGACCCTAAACCCCAAGACCCTAAACCCTCGACCCTAAGACCCTAAACCCTAGGACCCTAAACCCCAAGACCCTAAACCCTCGACCCTAAGACCTAGAGCTTCGGGCCCCAAGGATCAAGCTCGGACGCCTTGGGATTAGGGATGCTCGGGCTTTGGGTCTTTAGGGCTTTAAGGAGAATTCTTTTTTTGCTTTTTGAGGGTTTTAGGGTTTAGGGACTAGGGTTTAGGGCCTCGGAGTGTAGGGTTCAGGGTTCAGGGTTTAAGGCTTTAGGGGTTTAGGGTTAAAGGTTTGGGTGTTGGGGTTCGGGTTTTACGGAAGCTGCAGAGGCTGAACGACCAGCTTTGGCACTTGGCTTCAGCTGGCTCGATTCCTGATTGAAGAACCAGGCGTTATGGTTCAGGGTCTTACCCCCTGGACCTGAACTCTAAACCCTAAACCCTAAACCCTGAACCTTAAACCCACCTCAAATCCACTCGCACGTTTTGCCCATATCAGCCAGTCATTCGAGCGCTGCTCCGAACGAACGCGCTGTCGAGATCCAGAGAGCCCAAAAACCCTTAAATAAGGAATATACCTTAAATTATAGGGGCCTTAATATTATGATTTAAGGTATATGCCTTAATTAAGGGGTATTGGGCTCTCTGGGTACACTCTGCTGGCGGTTTTATCACTCAAGGTGCATGCCTTAAGGTTAAGTTATACTAGACTATACTATACTCTACTCTACGGTACTCTACTCTACTCTACTCTACTCTACTCTACTAACCCTAAAGCCTAAACCCTAAACCCCTAAACCCTAAACCCTAAACAGTGCTGTACTCTTAAGAGCTCAGGATTTAGGATCTGGGGTGACAGATATCCGACCCCCGGAGTGGAGATGCATCGGCGCGGTCCTCCAACTTGGAGGCTCTGGGTGCGAACGATGTCGGGCGTTGCTTGACGGTGCATGGGACTTAGCCAGACGTATAAATAAGGTAACTATAGGGTTTAGGGTTTAGGGTTATAAATAAGGTAGCTGTACTTATAAATACCTTATAACCCAAATTTTGGTTCTAATAGCTCTACTTACTAAGTCCCCTGAACCCGTAGACCCTAAACCCTAAACCCTAAACCCTGAACCTTAAACCCGAAACCCGAAACCCTGAAACCTAAACCCGAAACCCGAAACCCTAAACCCTAAACCTTATCCAAGTGGGCCTGGAGCGAGCAGGAGGGTCTGGGTCTCGGACTGGGCTTCAGCGTCTACAGCCTGCACCAAGGCAACGAGGGTTTAGGGTTGAGGGTTTAGGGTTTAGGGTTTAGGATTTAGGGTTTGGGGTTTAGGGTTTGGGGTTTAGGGTTTAAGGGGCCCTCCTGCTTTCCTTGCGGGGACTACGGTGAAACTCGCTCATAGCGGGACTCCCACTTCAAGCACTCTTTCGATTAAAATCTCAAAGCCTCGGGTTTGCTGATGAACCCCAACCCCCTGAAAACCAGTAATATAGTATAGGGGCCTTAATAATGGGAATAGGTTTTGGGGGGTATATTACACTTAAATTATGTGGCAATTATTTAAGCCCCTATGTTAAACCTAAGCCCAAAAACCTGAACGGAACGTTTCAACTTAAATCCCCAATCTAGAAGTCCTAAGCCCTACACCCAGTGTCCAGTCAGGAAAAGTAAATCCCCCGATCCCAAGCCCAGTACTGTCGGGGCTTGGCGTCTAACCTGAGAGCCCTTATAACGGACAAGCATCAATTCCTGTACACTCGGATCCTTATGCACCTACTATATATCCTATATGTACCCTGAAGGGTCCCTAGAAAGGCCTAAGTGTCCACATCAGGGGCCCATACTTGCAACCTTAGACAGCTGCAAAGCCCCCGACGTAACCTTACAACCCAAGAAGGCCTCAAGCCGAGCTTCAAGCTGTGAGCAGGAGAAACTGCTGATGATATAAATCCTGCATCACCTCAAGCACCCTAAACTATAGGAATTATGGTATATTCCTCGTTCTGGGTAATGCAGATTTATATCATCAACCGTACCTGTGATTCTTCCGAAGATCGCGGAATCGAGGTGCATGCGCTAGAGCTTAGGGTCCTAAAGGTCCTTGGAGGGTCGGGCGACTTAGCACGCAGGCAAAACTTAAGCCTAAAATACCTGCAGCCAGAAGGGTCCCAATTGGGGCTATGATATGTATAAGTCCAGAATAATAACTAGGGCCCCAAAAACGCACATAAGCAAAAATTAGGATAGGGATACCCCATATAAACCCCCTCATAATGAAGCC